CGTGGCTCGGTGAGCTCCCCAACGGGACTTCTCGACCAAAAACTCCATATCCGTGGCTAAACAACAAAACTGCCGTGCTATAAGTGAAAACGCCGTATGAATTTTCGAGAGTTGCCAAATTTCCCTCGGGAAAATGTTAATTTTTGAGGAAAGTTATGAATATTTTTCCGAGAAATTTTCAAGAACTTTAGGTGAAATTGCGAACGAAATTATCTGAAAAATAAGAAAAATATTTAAAAATGTTCCCAAAAATTCACGATTTACCAACGAAAATTGGGCAACGCCTGAAGCAACGCATTATTGACTCAAACAATTGAATTTGTTTACACAAAAATTACACAAAAAAAATTGTCTGTTGTTAAATTTGTTGGTATTGTATATTCTGGCTTTTTTGCTGATTTCTTGGTGTAATTAGAGTAAAAATCAGTGAAAATGTCTGGAGGCAACGCTCTAGATATTTTTTTTTTTTTTTTTTTTTTTTTTTTTTTTTTTTTTTTTAATATAACAAAAACTGTTTTGCGCAGGTTAAAATCATGTAGAGTTTAAATGCAGTCACGAAAACGACGAGATATGCTCCTCGATAGTAGAATGCAATAAAACACTTTCGGAATATCCTTCAAATGTTTTGTTTTGCAAATTCGTTATATTTACTAACAAATAACACACGTTTTCATTCAGTTGGCTAAATTTCCACTCTTTGCATTTTCTACCTGGAAAGAGACTCAAGGCCATCATCGATGGCAAAGGTTGATTGATCATCGAAAAGCAGACGAACTCTCCTTTCAAAACTTCTTTTTAAAATAAGTTTTTTTTTTGAAAATTGAAATATGAAATTGAAAAATTACATATCCAGGAATATACTTGGAACGTTGATCGGCACCAACCTATTCTAACTTAATCTAATGAGCCTCGCGTGACCTTACCTTGCTCAACCTAACTTCACCTGACTTAACCAAAATGTTGTGAATAGGAATAATTTTTAATCAAATATTGCTCTTGTATGTAGATAGACTGGCTTTGTTGATCCCATTGAACCGATTTTTTTTTACAAAAAAAATCCGGGTAACCATCACTGAAAAAGAAAAGTTCGGTAAATCCGAACTAGTTAGGATCATGTAGAACCACGATTTTGTTCAGCACACACGACCGAATTATTCGGTCTGCTCAGCCGAACTGTTCGGTCCACTGAACCGAACTGTGAGAATTTATTATGGTTCGGTCGCACAAACCGAACAATTCGGTTGAACAAACCGAATAATTCGGTTGTGTGTACCGAAAAAAACCTGGTTCCACATGATCCTAACTAGTTCGGATTTACCGAACTTTTTTTCTCAGTGTGCGTGCATATAACTAATTCTGATGAAAAGCTAGCCCCTTTTCAGTTAAAAGTTAGCCACTGAGCGACTGCACGATTGACGCGTGCAGTGCGCTGAAAGCTCGACTGAATTACGACAGGTTCCGCGGACCGCGAAGTCCGTAAATAAACATATTAAGTGCGTGCCGCTTCAAATTGGCCGGCTGGTTGGTCAGTTGGCTCCCGACCAAGGGATCCCCCGTTCGAATCTCGGATCGAGTAACAACTGCCGCGCCGCGCTGTGGAGGAGCGCTATAAGGAGCTATTGTATGAGCTTTAATTGATATCAAAATATTTCAGGTAGTACGACCTACACTGAAAAAAAATTCTCGGTGTTTTTACCAAGGTCCGTTTGTACCTTTACCATCTCACTTTTTTTAACAATTATTGGTAATTTTACCAAGACGGACTGGTAAGCTTACCTAAAAACCGGTATTTTTACTCTTTTTCCAGGTAAGAATACCACTTTTATTGGTAATCCATTCCCGGTAACTTTGTCATATTATCTCGGTAATTCTACCACAGTCGATAAAAAATATTGGCTTTTTTACCAAGGTCCAGTAAAATTACCGAGAAAGTCAATAATTTTACCGAGATTTCCCGCCCGGCAAGGGAGCAATGTGTACGTTGCCGCAACGTTGCAAGGCAACATTCTTGATGATATTGCTTTGTAAAGGTAAAGCAGCAACGTTTAAGCAATGTTTCAGCAATGTTGCCTGACATTATATTTTAGACAATATTTTCAAAACGTTTTTAGAAATGTTTCTGGAACATTATTAAAAAACGTTTCAATAAATATTTCTTAGATATATTGTGACAACGTTGTTAAACATTATTAGTCAGGGAGAAACACGATTTGACCCGGAACAAATTGCTTAACAAACTTTTCCTATGTAAACGTCATCAGTAGGTCCTCCTGAACAACATACCAAAAGTTTACCACGGTCCGACCCCGGAACACCCCCCAAAATGCCTAAATTTCAAAATGGCGGCCATAATAAGGCCTCTGGGATTTCGGTTTTTTAAAATGCGCATATAGTGTCATGTGAGGTATCAATCCCTGTGTAATTTTGGTCGTAGAACTCAGATATGAGGTCAAGCAGATGCTGTGCTGCAAATCGGAGGGGACACTTTTCCACTGTTTCAGGTGTTCTCCTTTCTGTTGTTTCTCAACAGATGATTTTCTCCAATCAATATAAGGGAATGCGCCCTCATACAATGTCGCAAAAATATGTATATGTATATACAAAAATAAACAAAAATTAATTGATAGATAATTCAAAAAATAAAAAAATTAACAATAAAAATATACAAATGAAGATAAAAATTTAAAAAAATAAAAAAATAATTTAAAAATAAAAAATAAAATAAAAAAAATAAATATAAATAATTAGAAAATAATTTAATACAAAATAAAAATACCAAATAATTATAATAATAAAAAATAATTATAATATAATTAAATAAATAATTAAAATAATAATAATTTTATTTATATAAAATGAATATATTTATTCAATTCTTTTTTAATTTTTTTTTCATACTCCTTTTTTTTAAAAACTTGATCTTCCTAATATTATGTTCAGTATCCTTCGTTGTAGAATTATGCACAGAAATGCAAGAATATCATTGCTTTCTATCATTGAACTAGATCTAGGGATGTTTATTAATGCTAAATAACCAGACTCAAACACGCGAGCGTCCGTAGCTGAGTGGCAGCGACACACGGGCGATCACTGAAGTTCAGCAACGTCGGGCGTAGTTAGTACTTCGATGGGAGCCCGCTTGAGAACCCGGGCGGAGCGCGGCTACTATCGGACTTGGAGTGTATTTCGGGTGCCTAAGAAACGCTTCTCTGCGGTCCACATTGAATTCTAGGAGTAAAATGCAGAGTACTCCTAAAATAAATCACCGAAATTTTTTCAATGTATTTTTGCAACATTCCCATTATGTTGCTAAAACGTATTTTTGCAACATTCCCATTATGTTGCTAAAACACATTGCAGACACATTGCCAATTACGTTCATGCAAGCTGACAAAATTACACGTTGTGGCAACGTTACCACAACGTTGCCCGAATACGTAAATGGCGAAATTGCAACGTTTTGGCAACGTTGCCACAACGTAATTTTGCCGGGCGGGTTCTCGGTAAAATTACCAATTCCATAAACGTTTTGATGTAACTTGTTTGTAGCTCTTAACAGTATGAAAAGACTGAAAGCAATGTAAGCAGATGATGCCTTAAACAGAAAATTAAATTTATGAATAAGGGATTCTTTCGATTGTAATTCTGAAATCTGCACAATGCACGGGGAAAACCAACATCAAAGGCTTTTGAGCGAGTGCAAAACTTATAAACTCAGTAACTGTATTTCTTTAAACCTGAAAGTTGCTCACTAGTTATTCCTGAAAGCAAACATTGTAAAAAGAAAACGAGGGTTCCATTTTCGGGAAGCATCTGCCAACCTCAGTCAAAAAAACCACGTATTGAGCTGCCGTGTTAAGGAATAACGCCGTATGAACATCCGAATGTTGCCAAATTTCCTCTGATAAAAATGTAATTCGGAAGAAACTCATACTTATTTTTTCTTGGAAATTCAAGATTTTTTTTATTAAATTGCAAATGAAACTGTCTGAAAAGTTGGAAGAAAAGTACTCACAAATTTCCCAATAAATTCGTTTCATCAAAGTAGATTTGGCAACGCCTGAAGGTTCATACTGCGTTTTTCCTCGGGACGGCGGTAAAACCCTGCGGCAAAGTTGAATGGCAGGTGGGAGCAACCTTGGCACGAGGGACCAACCCTGCGATTCGAACGTGCAATTAACCTATCGAAATTATAGAGTTCCGATCTAAATTCGTATGAAAATGATGATAACCCCCCGTTTTAGGAGCCCACTCCTTCATTTACACCTACGGCACGGGTGCCTCCGCCTATAAATCGTAGCTTGCCATTTGGGTGCAGATGCCCGAGCAGAAGGGGCCCCTACCTATTGCGATGTATCGATTGTTATGCCATTTAAAACTATGATAAAGAATCGATTGTTAAGGTGTTCGCTACAAACACCCTGTTTATCGATCCTTTACCATACATTTAAATGGCATAACAATCGATAAATCGCAATTCACGCCACGCCACTGCTTATTAGGTACTCTCTAATGAGACGAAGGGAAATGAGCCATGGATCATCGTGCCTTTTTGGCTTTTTTTTGGGGGGGGGGGGGTTATTTATTAGAACCTGATTATGATGATATTAATTTGTGTTTGATATTCAATCGGAAAGTCAAAATAGCTATTTAAAATTTCAAACCCGTTTAAATAAGCATTATAAAAAGCGTAATTAAAGAGGTAGGAGGATTCCTTTTGAATAAATTTTGGAACCTTCAATTTTAACGTTCGTTCCCAAAATTACCAACACTCTCATCTTATTCTCTCGCGCTCTCTCCCACCCTCTCCTCCCCCTCTCTTTTTGAAGACAGCTGTTGGATTTTTACATATCATGCATAAACCTTGACATTTTTAGGTTTGGTTAAGGCTACAGCTTGCACTAAGGCACGATTTTCGTTTAGATTGAAATTCAACACTTTTTTCCTTTTTTAGAAGGTGAAGTTTGCTTGATTGGAAGTGGGTATTGAATAAAGACCAATTTTAAAAATAAATGAACATATTTATTTAAGAGAAAAAAAGTTTTAGCAAGTAAGTCAGTACAAATAAAATTAAATTATTGCATAAATGTTTACTTAAACTAATCACATAAGTTAGGAAAGGACACGTGATGCTATATTATGCTTGGACAGTAAAAAAAATTATCGAAAACATTTCCAGGTAATCTATTGTTCGAGAAGAGGTCATTTTTTATCGTCTATGAATGGTCAGTCAACTGCATGATTAAAAGAGAAGACAAAGATAAAGCCACGCATTTCTACTCGATTCTCGATCCATTATTTAGTTTGTGCTTTATCTTGAAGTTATACTATCGATCATTTTATGCGTCATTGCAATTGAAAATACCATGAAAAAATTGGGCACTGTGTACCTTAAATACTAAATGGACGGAGTTCTTAGGAATTATCGAGTATTTACATGAAGGAATTCAAGTTCGTGAAGTTAACATTATTAGTCGCATTAAAAGTTTATTAAATTAAGTACTTTCAAAAGCTTGGTGGAAGGCTCTGCACATACGCTTAGACTACGAAGAATAGGAGAGATAGTAAATTAAGAACCCTTTCACCTAAAGATGACCACCATGACGGGAGGATAACGCATACCAGGACAATTTTGTGAGAATACTAAATAAATTCAAAAGAAATAAAATAATCTAAATATTGTGACTAGAATGCATGACGATGTAAAATTGGAGATTCCGTTTCAAAGAAATGAATTATTTTTTCGTAAATCTTGTGAAATTCCATACAAAATTAAGAATATTTTGGTGAAAGCAAAGAGATTTGAAAATTATTTCTTCTGGAATTGAATTAAATAAAAGTAATATCACATGTTTGTTACAAGAAAAATACTTGATATAAACGTTTCACAATAAAAAAGAAAATATTGTTTTGAAAAGGAGTACGAATAAGACAGCAAATGCAAGTTTGATAATATTTCAATTCGATTTAAAAGCCAAAAGTGTCCGATGCCATGTACAATTATCAGGCAGCTGCTCCGAATGAACAGAACATTGAACAGTATTCGAACTGAGGAAGTTGGAAAGAAAGGCCAGAAAAAGAAGACCTTTTTATCTATATCATAGCTGTGTTAGAATGACTGATGGGTGGTGCGAGGCATTGTATAATACAAACAATTTGTGATAATATTTCCGGAAATAAAAAACATTAAAAAAATTGCATAAACTCTTCGGAACTCATTCGCTCCTTTCAAAGTCTAAAAATTTAAACAACTTGAAATATTAAAACATTTAAACTGCTTAAGGTTTTAGGAAAATAAGTTCAAAACGAACTCACCGGTATTTTTATAATCTATGGCAGTTGATTCTTTGTCAGTGTTCATGCTTAAAATTTCAAACAGATCCTTTGATACTTTTCGCGACATACAATGTACGGACGTAGGCTTCTTCCTCAATCTTAATTTAAAAATCAAATCAAATTACCTTTCAGTCACCCCTTTCCTATCCTTTTGTGGAAGGATAAAAAAAGAGGCCGAAGTTGAATATTCACTTCTCAACCTATGGTTTCCTTGACCTTCTGCCTTTGGCACACCAAAGCAAAGCACCGAACACAAAACTTCATGATATAGCATTATCCAACATCGGGTGGCAATCCATACCCACGAAAGACTCGAAACTTAAACCTAAAAGGATCACATGTTGCAACAAAAAACCACTATTTCCGACTCATTCGCCTGCATAGGAAAAACCAATATCATTTTTCAAAACGAGCCAAAAATAGCGATCCCTCGATTAAAAAATGTGGCCCAGATTTAAAGAAAGTATGCGTGGCATAGGTAGAAAATCACAGTCTAACTACTACGGCTGTAAGCGGTGTTAGTGTACGGTCCACTATATATGGAACTGCCGGTTGTGGAGATATCCTTATGCGAGCGCTTCCTGGTGAGCAGGATGAGAACCGCGAGGACGGTGAGCAACATCAAGACGAGACCAGCGATGGCGATACCAATGGCGAAGCTCCTCTGGGAGACACAGATATTGTACGGGTCGTCCAGAGGATCAGCCTCAACCGTGAGGTCGTATTGGTCAGATTTCCCAAGATCGGTGGCTTCGTTGACGTAGAGACCACTGTAGACCTCAATGGGGGTGATGCGCCCCTGTTCCTCTTTCCCGCTGTCTTCTCGTCGTTGACGCATCCCTCTAGGTCGGCTACAGTCGGGGACCTGGTCGCAGCTACCGTCGGTCTTCACACAAAGCTGGACGTTACATTGGTAGTACACGGACGCGGTGTAGGGGAATTTATGAGCCTGGAAGGTGACGGAAGCAGTTGTCATGTTGGGGCTGTATTTGAACGGACCCATGATCTCGGGGTCCACGGGGCAGCCGTCTTTGTCGACGAGTTTCTGCTCGCCCCAGCCGAGCCCGTCACGCACGAGACAGTCCGTGACGCGGAGCCCGAAGGCTTCTTGCGCGTCGATGGAGACGACGAGCGTGAGAGGGTCGCCGATCTTGACGTTCTCGGCGACCTCCTTGCCGGTGGGGTCGCCGTAGAAGATCTTCATGGCGCTGCCGGGCATGGGGGCCGTGGCGTGGAGCATGGTCGGCTCGAGGGTGTTGACGTTGACGTCGTTGGAGATGGTCTTGTCGCGGATCTGGTAGCGGCACCGGATGTGGAAGCCGCGGCCCTGGTTCGTCACCAGCTTCCGGTGCGGCTGGACGACGATGGTGTTGAAGTACTCGACGCTGCCGTCGTCCAGCTGGGTGGACATGGTGTTGCACGAGCGGAGCGGGAGCTTGTAGACGACGGGGGACTGGTTGTCGTAGAACTCGGCCATGCAGGAGGAGTTCTTGGAGAGGCCCTTCGGGTAGATCATCCCGTTGAAGAGCGGGCTCGCCGTGTCGATGGCCACCGAGATCTCGTTGCCGCTGCAGTCGACGCGGACGTCGGGGGCGATCTGCGAGTCGCTCGAGGTGAGCGCCGGGTCGTAGAGGGCCGCCGAGCTCAGGGTCAGGAGCAGGGCTACCGCCAGGAAGGGGGTGAGGAGTGAGGAGTCCATCCTGGAAAAGAAGAAACACGGTCGTTTAATATAATCAAGAAAACGGTCAATTCATGCACTGAAAAAAAAATCTCTGTGTTTTTACTAAGAAGAGGGTAAAATTACCAAGAATTCAGGGTTCTATTTGATCCCAGTTTTTTCTTGGTAAAATTACCATTCATGGAATTGGTAATTTTACCGAGAAATCTCGGTCAAATTATTGAACTTTCTCGGTAATTTTACTGGACCTTGATAAAAACGCCAATATTTTTTATCGACTGTGATAGAATTACTGAGATAAAATGGCAAAGTTACCGGGAATTGATTACCAATAAAAGTGGTATTCTTACCTGAAAAAACAGTAAAAATACCGGTTTTTAGGTAAGCTTACCAGTCTGTCTTGGTAAAATTACCACTAATTAGTAAAAAAAGTGAGATGGTAAAGGTACCAACGGACCTTGGTAAAAACGCCGAGAATTTTTTTTCAGTGTGATGGATGTGTAGACTCTCTCACACTGAACAAAAAACTCCGGCTGTGGGAGCCGCAATCACGGGCTATATAGACATACCGTCCGTTCCGGGCTCAAAGGCCGAAAACTCCGGCTGCTGGACGCGTAGCTTCGATTGCTCCGGGTTCAGAGGCCGAAGCTACGGCTCCAGCAGCCGGGATTTTCGGGCTTTGAGCCCGGAACGGACGGTATGTCTATATAACCCGTAATTGTGGCTCCCATGGCCGGAGTTTTTTTTTCAGTGCACTGTGTGGGAAAAAAGTAGCTTGAATCTAGAGTCCAGACTCTTGAAAATATTGACAAGAAAAAATAATCTTGATTCAATCGGATTTCTGGCTGAAATCAAAAGGAAATTTGCTCAAATTAAGAGGCTTGGTTCTTGATCGAAGCAAAAATCCGATTGAATCAAGAGTATTTTTCAGTGTCAACATTTTTAAGAGTCTGGACTCTAGATCTTTTCCAGTGAATTTAAACAAAGCTAATCATTGCACGGTTAAAAAAGAAATCCGTCAAATGAGACCTAATTTATGACATTTGTCTCCGAATTCGACGTTCCTTCTGATGGCTTTAAATGTCAGGAGTTAAAACTCCAAACGCAGACGAAAGAACCATTAAAGTGACGAAAATATGTCCACGGTGCTGATGCATTAAGGTAAAACACCGTATGAACACTCGAGAGTTGCCAAACAAGCTTTCCCGTATATAACGTGAGTTTTTAGGAAAAGTCATGCATATTTTTTCTTAAAATTTTCGGATATTTTTCCCATTAAGGTTGAAAAAAATCGTTTGAAAATTTTGAAAAATATACTTGCATATTTCGCTGAAAATTCGTTTTTTATACGAGGAGATTTCGCAATGTCTGAAGGCTCATACGGCGTTCTTCCTTAGCGCCGGCAGAGTGGGGGTAAATGCGTCTATCTACTTTACCCCTACAGTTAACGTATCCTCGTCTACTTGGTTGGTTTTTCGACTACGTAGGGAGTTTTGACGTCCCAAAATTTAGAGCGAGAAGTCCAACTAAGCGATAAATGATAAGTCACATGAAGAAAATTTGCCATTTACCCAGAAAACATGCTAAATTGAACATCCATATAAAAACAAACCGTCCTTAGCAGTTTAAAGTTGCGATGGGATCATTTTTTTTTTCTTTATTAAAATATAAATAGAATACCTCCAGATCCGGCTCAGAATCAGAATTATGTACATTGTTATGGCTGTTATTCTTTTTTTCCCCATACAAAATTAATATTCCATGCGCTCCGAGCTGCACAAGGATACATTTCCACGAATCCTTGTAGGACTTCCTGTTAATATTTTCCTCACAATGGCAGCTAAAGTTCCATTGAAACAACGAGAATGGATATGTTGCATGTGTGAGGAATTTGCGATTTGACCATATATTTTTATGTAAAAGTTCGCAAGAAACACGATGGTGCCACTGGTTTTCTCTGAAATCAACTCCAAAGCTCAAAAAAAGCTCTCAAGTCGTGGCCAAAATGGAGGGGATATCCCACGCTATCCCCTCCATTTTGGTCTCACTTTGAGAGCTTTTTTTGAGCTTGAGAGTTGATTTCAGAGAAAACCAGAGGCACCATCGTGTTTCTCGCGAACTGTCACACAAGAATCAACAGTCAAATCGCAAATTTCTCACACATGCAACATCTCCATTCCGTTTAAGTACGAAAAATATCCGATGAGAAACAGATTAACAGAGCGTCTACTAGGAACCTGAAGAATTTTTCTCTGTGCTGCGAGGTGTTCCTAATTAAATTTTAAAAGGTAATCCATCAACCTTTAAAGCTACGTAAGAATTCTTTAAATAAAAGGAAAAACATGCATTCCGATGACTCTTCGAAGCTAAGACCTTCACCGACGGCAAAAGTCACCGGGGTCAAGAACGTGAGTGCTGGAAGTGCCTCGCCAATAAAATGCGTAGAATATAATGAAAGCAAAGAACATTCCGTTAGAACGAATAAGTTAGCGTATGGATGCTAGGCCACAGGGGTGGGTCGGACGCTGTCAGCATGGGGCTACAGGCGTCTTTCCTAATTATTTACTCCCGGTTAGACATAAAGCGTGGAACAATAATTTGTCTATCTAACACCTGAAGCGTGCGCTCACCGGCATTTATAACACTGTTTATCTCCCTCCTCCAGCTGGAGCTAACAGGTGAGAAGGAGAAGGGGAGATGCCTCTTCACGCGACCCTGACCGGCATTGATCTTCCCATACAGGGTGATGCAGGGATAGTTTCCATGAATTGGAGAGCCTATGCCTATCCCAGGATCGGAATATGACTTTTTTCCCTCACATAATTATTTCCGAAACACTGGGGAAAAAACACATTGGATCTAGAGTCCAGACTCTTAAAAACATCCACAAGAAAAAGTACTTTTGATTCAATCAGAGTCTAGCTTAAATCAAGAACCAAGCCTCTTAATTTGAGCGGATTTCGTTTTGGTTCAAGCAAAAATCCGATTGATAAAAGTATTTTTTCTTGTCAATGTTTTCAAGAATCTGGACTCTAGATCCAATGTGTTTTTTTTTTCCAGTGAACGACTTGCTTTCGCAAATACAGCTTCTCAAAGTTAAAAAAAAGTATTTTAAATTAAAAAAACATCGATGAGATTTGATCACATTACATGATGAGGTTAGGTTCAATTACTCTTCATAATTATATTTGCCTTAAAAAAAGGAAACTCATTCTGTGCGGACAATGTGAGGGGAAGCTTTGGTTTGACAGATAATGAAAATGATCCTTAATATTCGACATCGCCCTCCCTTCTTATATACCCCTAAATCTTTCCACAAAATGAATTTTACCGTTATTAAAGTCTAAAACATGTAGGGAGCACCCAAAGTCACTTTCTGGGACCAATTGACATCAAACTCGAACATAACTGTTCCCAAATAGTAACAACGCATAGTTAAACGCATTTCGTTCTGAAACTTAGGAGGACGCAATTTTGTGAAAAAAGGACCGTCCATAAAGGACGTAACACACGTAACGCTAAATAAGGTGCGTAGCGCCGATTTTTCTGATGTCTCACAGTAATATATTCCATATTCTTTTTCAGTGCATAGGATGAAAATTTAAAGCGAGGGGGCAGTTGTCCATCCAAAATTCATCATAAAACGTTAATTTATTGGAGTGTTGCTGAATTTTTATAGGGGGTGATGCAAATCTTTATTACAGAGTCTTAACAAGAGGAGGGGAGAAGGAGGGCGTAATAATGCCGATTTTCAGCGTAACGCATCTTACGAACGGCCTTAAAACTGCCTACATAAACCTTCGCATTTGACCCAAAGAACGGTCTCTTAAAATCGTCACCCTTAATTCTAAATCATCCTGTACATACCGCAGTGGCAATAATATTGGGTGGTCAGGTTGGGGGGGGGGGCGGATATCAAAGGCGGTTTCCGTGTTACAAAGAGTTATGGACTAGTGAAGCTGTAATGAAGACTACGACAAAGCCCCCAGGAAGGACGCTGGTGAGCCGACTGCAATTACTTTCGTGGAGTACAAGGAACTTTGACACTCCCGGGATAAGGAAGGGAGAAAATCGGGGAGGGCTTTGCCCCCGAGTTCCCGGCGAGAGTTACCGCTACTGTTCGCCGTTGCCAAATCGTGCGCATAGCGTGGTATTTGTGTTGCTCGAGAGAAAAAAATCACTCCGAATTTTCGAAAATCCCCGTGACTAATCTGAATAGAAAACTGCTCGAAAGAAGGATACACTGAAAAAAAATTCTCGGCGTTTTTACCAAGGTCCGTTGGTACCTTACCATCTCACTTTTTTTTACCAATTATTGATAATTTCCCCAAGACAGACTGGTAAGCTTACCTAAAAACCGGTATTTTTACTGTCTTTTTCAGGTAAGAATACCAATTTTATTGGCGATCAATTCCCGGTAACTTTGCCATTTTATCTCGGTAATTCTACCGCAGTCGATAAAAAATATTGGCGTTTTTACCAAGGTCCGGTAAAATTACCGAGATAGTTCAATAATTTTACCATGATTTCTCGGTAAAATTACCAATACCATAAATGGTAATTTGACCGAGAAAAAACTGGCATCAAATAGAACCCTGAATTCTTGGTAATTTTACCCTTCTCTTAGTAAATACACCGATATTTTTTTTTCAGAGGTATCTGAATAGAAAACTGCTCGAAAGAAGGATAAGTATCTGATATACATATCTCTGGCTAAAATTATCAAGAGCTGCAACAAAACGTACTCGAATACAACAATTTTTTGGGATGGTGAACAGAAAATTGGCACGCCGAAAAAAAGTGAAGCTGATTCAACATTCTGGATGTAAAAAAATTGTACAAGAACTTAAAAAATGCAGATTTACCCTCCACAGCAGTTAGTTTCACATCTTGGTACGGCTAATGTAACTGCTGTAGCGGGTAATTCAGCAATGTATAAGTTCTTGTACACTTTTTTTCACCCAGAATGTTAAATCAACTTCACTTTTTTTCGGTGCACCACCGGCGGAGATATTGGTACCC